TCTCCCTGATCTTGCTATGGCAAAAAACAAGAGGGGAGCTCCCGCTTTCCGTGGCGCAAAGAACGCCAGGGGAGGTCGAGGAGGCAGGGGAGCTTTTCGTGGAGGTGGGAGCTTTTCACCAACGCCGCTCCGAGCCAATTTTGCAAGAGAAGAAACTGGTACGGATCACCCTGATGCAAAGTGCGCAAATGTCGAAGTGCTTGGCCGCTGACCTGATACATTATAGCTGGATTCACGCTTGCCGACGAAGCTCGCCAAACATCACAGCATGACCATTCGACATGGGGGAACTCCAGTCTACGATTGCGGCCAGTTGCTTTCGTAAGCGCTGGACCTACGGAACCTTTGAAGCTCTTGGATGCGATTGTTGACCCGGCCGACAAGAAAGATGACCAGGCTGACGAACAGAGCTTCGAAGAATTGACCGACGAGGTTGAGTTCATTGGCCCTGACGACCTGGAGGAAGCAATCCAAGCTGAGACTGCACCCGAAGAAAGCGTGCCACAGGATGTACCATTCTTCTTTGATCTCACAGGAGACCAGGTCCAAAAGAAGAAGGATCTCCCCCCGGTGGAGATACCGGATAGACCATCCTCGAGGAGCAGCACCTCGAGCGAGGAAGTGCTTCTCTTCAAGGGCCGAGGTGCGCAGAGAAACGTACAACATGTGCCTGATATCGACATGGTGCAGATGCAGACTGAAATTCGTGTCGTCGAGCAGGCTATCATCACTGAGCCGACCCATTCACAACAACCACCAGCACCACCAACACCAGAACTGCAAACGGAACCAATCCGCAGTAAGAACTTAACCAAAACGGAGAAAAAACAGAAGAAGCGTGAGAAACGTAATGCTAAAACTAAATTTGACGAGGAGGAGGATGCCATTCTTGCCGACTACATCGCCAACCTCAAGGAAAACACTGAAGTTGATGATTACTTCAAGGAACTGCTCGAAGGTGGAAGACACTCAGACGATAGTGGCGTATCCGAGTCAGCCAATGCTGCAGGAGATGACACGGATGATGATACGGACAACGCTGAAGCGACCAACGGAGATGAGGTCCCTAGCGAGATCGATGACGAGACACTCGCAAGACTGATTGCCGGTCAGCAGCTTGGGCAAGATCTGGGTATGGAGGATGTACACTTCGGAGATTCTTCGAGCGACTCCGACTCGGACGATGACGACACTGGCAAGAGGACGAAACAGCACCAGGAATTTGACGATGATTTTGATTTGATGGATTGGGATCGCCCCAGCCTGCGTCGGCGCAAAGGCAAAGGCGCTCGAGCTCAGATCAGCTTCAACATTTCCGATTCTGAACTGGAAGCATCCCTCCAAGCCAGCTGGAAGAGCGATCGCCTTAAGAAATCCGAACGAAAGAAACAGCGAGAGGAAATGCGCGCTCTTGGCATGCTAGGCAAAAAAGACCCTGACGATCTGCGGGTCAAATATCCAGATGGAATGAACATGGACCAAGTCGCAGATGAGCTACAAACATTCCTGATGGGTTCTGACGAACAGTGAGTTGTCATCAGGTTATTTATGAATTTTAACTGACTAATTACAGACTTAATTTCCCCCCTATGGATAACAATGCGCGCAAGATGATCCACGAGCTGGCGAGTAAATTCAAACTCAAGTCCAAGTCAATTGGAAAAGGCGACCAACGAAGACCGACACTTCATCGGACAAAGCGCACACCTCCCTACGTCCCAGCAACATTCGATCAAGCTCTCAAGCGCGTCAATCGCAAGTATCTTCCTCGGTCGGACAAGAAGGGCAAGAAAGGGAATCGCTTGCCGCCTGCTCGTGGTGGCACATCCGTCGCGGCTGCTACATATCAAGATGGTGAGGTGGTTGGTGCTTCAGCGCCAGAATTGGGCATCGAGAACCGCGGCAGAGCGATGCTGGAGAAGATGGGCTGGAGCATGGGGACCGCGCTCGGGGCTTCCAACAACAAGGGCATCATGCAACCTGTTACTCATACAATGAAGCGCTCAAAAGCTGGGCTGGGATAGAAGTTGGTCACATATTTAAAACGACACTTTCATGGAGTTTGAGGAATGCAACTGTAGAGATTAGAAACCAAAGACATCAAGCAAGACACACGTGTAACAGTAAAGGATGGGACACAAAGTTTATGTGCACGAATTCATTTGATCGAGACCCTATTCTCGATGTTTATTGTACAACCGCGAACCCCATTGCCCGTGTGTGAAGACATTGCCCCCAGGAAATAAAACAAAACCATCCGTAACGCATTATGAGGCCCCTAAAACAGGGCTGGATCCCCGTGAAACCTCAGACTCATGACACCCTGATGCCACGCGTGAAAAACCAAATGCCCAAAACAAATCAAGCCATCAAAGCACTTATTTCGTCGAGGAAGAGTACTTGGTGACAGCCTTGGTACCCTCAGAGACGGCGTGCTTGGCAAGCTCACCGGGGAGGATGAGACGGACAGAGGTCTGGATCTCTCGGGAAGAGATGGTGGACTTCTTGTTGTAGGCGGCAAGCTTGGAAGCCTCAGAAGCGACGCGCTCGAAGATGTCTGAACCAAGAGTCAGATCAAGTTGGACTAGATAAGTAGACGATGCGACATACCGTTGACAAAAGAGTTCAGGATGGACATGGCACGGTTGGAGATACCAGTGTCGGGGTGGACCTGCTTGAGGACTGGAGATGCAAGTCAGTAAACGCGATACCAAAACAAGACGCGATAAGGCGCGATTGAGGCTGGAATTGGAACTCACCCTTGTAGATGTAAGAAGAATAGGTCTCCTTGCGGGTCTTGGAGCGCTTCTTCTTGTCGCCAGAGGCGGCAGTCTTCTTGCCGGCATCCTTCTTCTCCTGAGGAGCCTTGGAGGCAGTAGCGGGAGCCTTGGAGGCGGGCTTCTTATCAGCAGCCTTGGGAGCCATTTCGAAAGATGGAAAAGAGGTTTGAAAAAAGTGCGTGAGTTGGTTGTGTCGGTTGAGTAAGAACTCGTGCGTTGAGTAAGTTGTTGTGAGGCGAGAAGATGCTGTTGTAGATGGGAAGTTGATGGCGAGAAGAGAAGATCGGGGAGTGGGTTGGGTTTTTGTAGCTGGCGCGTTGTCGGTGTTAGCGGGTTACTGATTGCCTGGGGGGCGTGCACACGCGTGCTTGCTTCAATTGCGCGGGCGTGCTTAGCGGCTGGTGGAGGTGATCTTGGGAGGGGGACCTGCCAGGCCAGCCCCTCTTTTCTGTTGCTGCTGGTGAAATAAAAATTGGGTGACGGTTCTTTTTTTTGATTGGCTCTTTGCACTCTCAATCACGCTCTAAGCTTTACAAGGCCGGCGCCCCCACCAGCATCCTTTCCGTCATCGTTTGATGGGAGCATCCATTTCCATTTCCATTTCCATTCTCATTTTCGCGTCGTGGTCTCTTTGCTTCCCTCGTCCTCTTTCATCACCTCCCAGCTCCCGCGTCTCAGCCCGGGTCATTCTTCTCTTGCTCTTTGATTTCTTTCCTTTTACATATCACTTCTACTCATAGTATAGGTACTTTCATCCAAAACATGTTACTTTCATCCATCATATCCACCTTGTAGACCCGTTCAAGATGTTGTGATGACTCCAAATATGCCCGATTTTTGACGTGACAGCCTTGGAGACCCGTAATGAGCGTAAAATATTCGTGTAAATTGAGCTGTATACCGATCCGGGTCCCTGATTACGCCCAGATCTGTTGGAGCATCCCTGCCTACGCGTCCGTCTTTCTCATCAACGCGTCCGTTCCGTTATGAAGGAAGGCTCCGGACTGTGGCCCGTCACGGCCGCAACGCATCGCCATTCGGGGTCGGTCGTCGTGACTCCTGAGGATGCCGTCCCGGCTTCTCTCCACATCTGCATCCGTTTGAGTCCCGAGACGGAGATCTATAGGGCTGCTGGCTCCGTCGTGACCGGTTCCTGACGGATCTTGAACAGATCTGACATCGAAAAGCCGGGGGTTTTTGATTTGTGGACCGTTCACACATGCAATATACGTCACAGTACCTGAATCTGGGGTTCATGGAGTCAAATTGAGGCTTAAATCTATCTCTAAGTACTAAAAAAAAGAAAAAATTCAAGTTGTATACACCTTTCAAAGGTGTATATGGGTCAAATCAAAGTAGAAAAAAGACACAAAATATGCCTTGGTATGACCAAGATGGATCAAACCTCACAATATCAAAAGAATTTCAGACCAAAATGGGTCAAAGAAAAAAGGTCAAAGATCAGACCAAGTTGGAACAACAACTTCAAACAGACCAGGTGGAGGGACCAAGTCCCAAAAAATCACGCAAACGAGAACGCGACCGAGCAACAACAGAGCAACCGGACCAGACCAGTTCAAACGAGATGAGCTGGACCTGGCACAAGTTGACAAACGTGGGAGGCCAAAGGTATCGGAAAACTGCAGCGACTTTGACTGATTGTGATGTGAATGAGTGTCCAACGTGTCCTCCAATCATCAAATCGCGCCGCGCACAGCAAAAAATGTAGAGAGGAGGAAAAAAGAAAATGGAGGACGAAAAACCTTGTGGTGCGGGCAAGGTGAGAGGAGAAAGCAGAATAACGCGCAAGTGATCTTGGTTGGAGTGGAGGGCATAACATGGAAAATCGGTTTTATTATTTCGCCGGGGGCCATTTTAGTGGGCCATCGACCACTGGCCAGTAACAAGTGCCACAGGCGCGCCAGGGGTGCCCGATTTTTATTTTTAATGCGTCGAGGAGCTTGGTTTCCCAATTTCGCCAAATGCGGCTAGCCCCAAATCGCGCTGCCAGCTGCAAGTGAGTGATCTGGGATCAGAGCTCTCGACGCGCGAAAAGTACTTAACCTCTACGTCCCCCGCCAACGTTATCTCTTCCACTTCTCATCAACCAATTGTCATCACAAACACTCTCTTCGACTCTTCCATCCATCTCAACAAAGTCTTTCAGACTCCTCAATCACCTCTTTTTAATCCACTACCCCAAACCACCCAACCTTCAAAATGACTGGCGGCGGAAAGTCTGGCGGCAAGGCCTCTGGTTCTAAGAATGCGCAATCGTAAGTTTCGCCCACTTTGACGCGCCTTTTCGATCGCGTCTTGTCACTTTACTTGATCGATCTCAAGCTAACACCACTCTTCTCCAGGCGATCTTCCAAGGCTGGTCTCGCGTTCCCTGTTGGTCGTGTCCACCGTCTTCTCCGAAAGGGCAACTACGCTCAGCGTGTTGGTGCCGGTGCTCCCGTCTACCTCGCTGCCGTTCTCGAGTACCTCGCTGCCGAAATCCTCGAGTTGGCTGGTAACGCTGCCCGTGACAACAAGAAGACCCGTATCATCCCCCGTCATCTCCAGCTCGCCATCCGAAACGATGAGGAGTTGAACAAGCTTCTGGGTCACGTCACCATTGCCCAGGGTGGTGTCCTTCCCAACATCCACCAGAGTATGTTATCCATTCTTCTCCATCGCTTTACATCATCACTAACATCACTCCAGACCTTCTGCCCAAGAAGACGGGTAAGACTGGCAAGAACGCTAGCCAGGAGCTGTAAATGGTTCATTTGGTTCTTGTTTTCCATGCGATGGCTGGTTGTTTGGGTTGTCATGACAAAGGGGTCACGGTTCAAGGGTTCATACGGTTGTTTTTCATCAGTTTATTCGCGCGTTAGGGTTGTACAATAATCCCCCACGGCTATGGTCATGAAATAAGAATACTTCAAAGATCTACATCGCCTCTTAATCCTTTTGTGAACGTATTCGCCACTTGAGACTATCATCTTCTAGCTAGGACTATGTCTTTCCCTGTTCCGAACTGGTAAATATCCGCTGTTTGCAACTGCTACTTCTCAGTGATCCGTGCTCAGCTATCGCTTCCAAATATACCTAGACATTTGCTTGCAGTGATTTGCCTTCCAACACGCATCGTCGATAAGACGCCTGTCGCTCGTAGAGTGTGGGTAAGTTCTGATTCTTGTGGTCAAATGTCGATCTCGTTCGCACTGATACGATACTTGAATGACCAAATTCATTTGATTCATGCTACAGCTCTCTCCGCGAGCCCATCTGTATCCTCTTCTATGTACATATATCCTCTCGTACAGCCAAAATAATCCAGTCGAGTTTTTAGTGTCGGTTGACAGGGTGTGGGGGAGCTATTCACATATCAGTTTCCGGATTATTGATGGCTGGGTGCCACCGGATAGGTACTTACGGTCGAGAACAGGCGACGGGAGGTTTCGCTCGAACTTGGAGCCTGTTGCAGTATCATTAGCAATCTGCACCTGACGGCTCTTGCCATATGCTGGAGAGATATACCTCCGGGAGCTGTCGGGGGAGTATAAGGGTCGGGGTGCTTCCAGCTCTCTAGCAGCTTCTCGGTCTCGGTCAATAGGGCCTGTGCATCGGAATTAGCGTCCAGATCATCTTCCAGTCGCCAATTGGTGACAAACCCTTTGATGCCGGGGATCGGTGACATTGCGGTTGGCCTCGAATAGTGAGCGAATATACATAGCCTGGCCACGCCACAGGTGTCGATGGACGGCCCAATCTAGCGCCAGCTTCAATGAGCGGCGGTAGAGGGATCTGAATACGATGACAGTCAGCGCACGGAGCTGGATGAATCGGCAATCATTGGGCCGGCGGTTCGGGAGGAGGGAAATGTTACTGACAAGGCAGCTCGTCGCGTCGACATGGTTTGTGAGGTAGTGAGAGTACGCGTGACCGGGCCCAGTCGAGAAAGGCTCCTCGCTATCGGGCAATTGGTCGGTTGTCGCGGGGATATCTGCCGTCTGGCGTTCGCTCGAGGGTTTCGTTGTTATGCTGGCCGTCTCGGTCGAGGTTGGGATACTGCGAAGAATGTCGACAATGACGGCAAAGATTTGGTGCCTTGTTGCCTCGTTCCGATAAATAGCCGATCAGCTTGGCCTACCCTGTACTTTGAGACAGAGTCGATTCAATGCATTACTGGTTCGACACAAGCTTCTTTAACCAGTCAGGTAACCTTATCGGGACTTCTACGTGTAAATTACTACGGTATACTTCGTTGCAAGCTAGATCAAACCAAACTGGCGGCTAGAACTCGATATTTCGATACAAGTTCCCGATTTAACATGCACATGGCAAGAAAGTACTCGCAACTAACAAGAGAATTAGATCTAGATGTCAAGCTCGGCTACTATGTCTATGGTACTTAAAAAACTGTGTCAAAAGAACAAAAGCAAGTGAGAATTTAGTATTCCTCCAGTAAGTCCAAAAATCATCACTACTGGGTTCAGTATACGCTATTCAAATGCTGGCAGAGACAGCCTAGTACAACAGGTAATTGAGGTGCATGGACCAACATCTGAATTAGTTTTATGCGACAGCCTATTGGTTGCTCTTAAGCTGCCAGAACCAGGTAGCTTCGAGCTGAAACTGGGGAAATAGCCGCGCCACATATCTCATGTTGAGCCACACTCGCAGTCCCTCGACTTAAAGATGTGATTTATACACCCCGGCAATCGCTGAATGTATGCATCGCAGTAAGAGCACTGGCACTGGCACCGAGTACTTGAAACCGAGACGCCTACTCTTCTTAATTGCTGTGGTTAGCCTGTAAAAGATAAACAGAGCTTGGTATCGTGTCTATTCGGCATTACATCAAGGCATAGACGTGACCAAGTTCATGGCATCTCGGATCCAGCAGCTATAAACCACAGTGGGAGCAAAGACAAATAATCAGCAAATCTGCTCATCTGAGAGAACATGGGGTTATATGAGTAGTCGACTGGAGATTTACAGGCAGTGTTGAACGAGATGTATGCCGAGTAGGCTGACACAGAGTAGATGTTGGAAGGCAAGAATTTGTCCATGTCCATGTCCATATGACGACTTTCAACTTCCAACTTACATAGGTAATTTAGTATTGAACGGGATGGTTATACTTAGCACGTAGCGGAGTGCCACTGAGAGAGCAATGCCACCAAAACTTGATTCATGACTGGGATCCAATCAAACAGCATGCTGACAACTGCTTGACCATTATACCCAAGCATTTACGTGATGCAGTGACATGGAGCTATATATATATTTCGCTATGGCCTAAGTAAGGGCGACAGTGAAGCCTGCGAAGCATGGCACGCGTTTCGGGATGTTGGAACAAAAAAAGAGCTTCACCTGTATTCTACCAAGGGGTTCCAATCATACCGATAGGTTGTCCATCTGAACCTGCGAGCTGCTTGAATGTCGTTGTGTCTTGGGTCAGCTAAGGACCAGGGGTGAGCACCACAGGGTAAGCTTCTCAAGTTGAGATCATTACAATCATGGTCTCTGGAGGCCTTATGCAGTCCAGTGCCCAGTCTGAATTGAGAGTGGTACTGAACTCCCGGGAAAGGCTTGGTGGTATTTAAAGAAGTAGCACATATCTTGATACGGCGGAGCAGGATGAAGAAGCCAGACTGGGTACAAGTTTATAAAGACGTGAATGGACAGCTTGAGTCTATAGAAACATTGTTGTGGATAGTGACACGATTCGAGAGAGTTACTGAAAAGAATGGCTCTCAGAGGGCAGCGTCTCAGTACACTCACGTCACATGTAGCTGGCACGGAAGGGTTCGGCATCGCCTGGGAGTGTTGGCACTTGGCGATTTCTACGCCAATAGTGACCCATTGTACATCAAATACTCAATTGCTGCATATTCTTTGTTGGTGTTAGATTTATTTATGCTTGGGTTGCGTTTGAACAAAAGCTCGTTTCAAGACGCCCGACTTACAGGTAAAGTTCTTTCTTCCCGACTGTTGAGATAGTCACGGGGAGCGTGGGCGAAAGATCAACAATCGAATCACTGCATATCTAAACCATCACTTTTATCTCACATTTCTCATCATGTCCAGTGGTGTTGAGACATTCGTCAGACGATAAAATATCGGAGAAGGCTGCCGCTCGCCACTTGGAAGGAAAAGTCACTACCAGGAACGACCAGTTTTATATTCACGACTTCTAAGCCAAAGTCGACGAAACAAAATCCATTGACGTTTCTACCTACCAAAGTTTGACAGTAAATATGACCGAAAGTCTATTGGACTATCTCCAATCTGGCTAACACCCCGTGATGGATCTTACCATGAGAGGTAGAACGAAAAAAGAACTTGACAGAGACTGGGCGATTGTGTGACGGCTGGAAGAACTGGATATGAACAGATGTGCCTTGCCCAAGTCAAATTGCGACGTTATAAGGCGAGTGTCAGGGACCTCAAGAGGAGAGCTTGGTTTTCTCCTGCGTTCCCCAGAGGAGGCACACTGGAGTCTCTGAGGATAGCAGAATTGTAACCGAGAGTCACTGAGTTCATCTGCATCATTCCTAGCCTATTAGTACTCAGAAAAGTATGATCAGGCGCATGGTTATCGCATAAGCTCCAGACTTTGGTCTTGGTAGAGGCGAGGGGAGTGTTTACCAGAACAACCTATCATCCCACAATGGACTGAATGAAACCCAAAACTTCCCACTGGCCTAGTCCAAACAGTCACTAATGTTATAGAGGTAGAATAGAGAGTAGAAAACTGCCAATGGGGAACGAAAGTGTACTTGGGGGTGTTGTTATAGCAAGCAAAAACGGCACAGACTAGGCGAGAAGACTCGACTTCTCATTCATGTACCTAGCCATACACAAATCTGAACCCCTTGGTACTTTGGAAGACGAATGTCAATGTGAATTGAACTAGATGGGAGCGCACCCAAAGACTGAGCGGCGACATTCAAGATACTGCATGTGGAGCGTGTGCAACTGGGTTGTTGAGCATCATCTGTTCATGCTCAAACCTGGATGAGAGAGTCCACAAGGCCAGGCCAAGAGAGACCAACATGAGAAAGAAGTTGGGATTATTTTTTAACCAGAGCTGAAAAGAATTAGAACTTGCCAAGTGTGTAAACCCCCCAACCCACACGGACAAGCGTCAAGCACAATCACCGTACTTCCGACAGTCGTGATGCCTGAGCAACAGTTCGGCGACAAAGCTTTATGAACAAATGACAAGCCGGATCATCTATGGTGACCTAAGGCTCCTTGCTAGAGAGGCGTTGCTAGACGTAACCACTGAAGGAGGACTAGAATTCAGTCGAGTCACTGATTGGCAAAGGACCTGAAGGCTGTAAGGGATATCGGAAAGAAGGAGGCACTTAAGTAGAGAAGATTTCTCCTTATCCTCTACTGTCTAGGTGTCTCAGCACCGCGAGGAAAACGGTGATGTCCCATTGACACCACTGGGACTGGGCTGGGCCAATAGTCATAACAAATCTGACGTCTCAATGCTTTGCAAAAATGAAGAAACCGAGACGGCCTCAATCGCCATCAGTGACAAGGGGGGCATATGGTTATGTAGGTCCTAGTCTAGATGCTGTTATTTCCTGCCATTTACGCGAACCCGGGAACAGTTCCATATGTATCAAGTTGCTGCAGGGGAATACGGTTTGTTAATAGTCCATGGCATGCACATTGTGAAATTCGGTGATGATATCTTACGTAGACAGGAGGACACTACAATAGAATGAGAAGGAGAAAGTATCATGAGCTCTGGCTCAGATATCACAGATGTGCATTATATTCTCAAGTGGATGATCTCTTATCGCAGAGTGTGATGATGCTTGATTGAATGCAGAATGTTTCCTGCTCAAGTCGATATGCTTGATTAGATTATGCAAATACGATGCTGATACCTGAGGCCTGTAAGGGGGCGACTGGTAGTTGTGCAGAGAGTGAGTACCTAGGCATAGATAACAAATTTCATCAGGAGCTTAGCAAGGAAATTCATAACTAGAGACAAACAGGCAGAGACGGTTGCTAGTCTTGTCACTCTTGTGCAATTGAATGGCATAGAGCTTTATGCCCTTAGAGTTATGCTTACCAGCCTCGCCTTGCTATGTTATCCACTCTCATGCTACTGCAGTCGTCAATGTACTTTCTGAGAAAGGTACAAAGGAGAGAACTTGTACCCGCATAGATTCACATCCCCACATTCCGCATACCCCCTGTTTCTATATACCCCTTACTTAAATCTCTCTTACATTAACTTACTAAGCAGTATAGATAAATAGTTAAATTAGCCTAAATCAAGGTATTTATTTTTTATATAAAGAGTTATTAAATTTAATTTAATAAAAATACTATTTTTTAAAAAAGTAATAAAAATTTAAATAAAATTAAAAAATTTAAAATAGTTATTATAATAATAGCTTAATAATAAGGCTAATTAAGAAATTAACATAATATATAACTTTATAATTTTTAGAATTTTATTATAAAAGTCCTTTTATTTTAAAAACTTACTTTTTTAAA